ACGAGTGTGACGCTGAGTATGATGACGAGTGTGACGCTGAGTGTGATGACGAGTGTGACGCTGAGTGTGATGACGAGTGTGACGCTGAGTATGATGACGAGTGTGACGCTGAGTATGATGACGAGTGTGACGCTGAGTGTGATGACGAGTGTGACGCTGAGGGTGATGACGAGTGTGACGCTGAGTATGATGACGAGTGTGACGCTGAGTATGATGACGAGTGTGACGCTGAGTATGATGACGAGTGTGACGCTGAGTATGATGACGAGTGTGACGCTGAGTATGATGACGAGTGTGACACTGAGTGTGACGCTGAGCGTGATGACGAGTGTGACACTGAGTGTGATGACGAGTGTGACGCTGAGTATGACGACGAGTGTGACGCTGAGCGTGATGACGAGTGTGACGCTGAGTATGATGACGAGTGTGACGCTGAGTATGATGACGAGTGTGACGCTGAGTGTGATGACGAGTGTGACGCTGAGTGTGATGACGAGTGTGATGCTGTGTATGACGACGAGTGTGACGCTGAGTATGATGACGAGTGTGACGCTGAGTATGATGACGAGTGTGACGCTGAGTATGATGACGAGTGTGACGCTGAGTATGATGACGAGTGTGACGCTGAGTATGATGACGAGTGTGACACTGAGTGTGACGCTGAGCGTGATGACGAGTGTGACACTGAGTGTGACGCTGAGCGTGATGACGAGTGTGACGCTGAGTATGACGACGAGTGTGACGCTGAGTGTGATGATGAGTGTGACGCTGAGTGTGATGACGAGTGTGACGCTGAGCGTGATGATGAGTGTGACGCTGAGTATGATGACGAGTGTGACGCTGAGTATGACGACGAGTGTGACGCTGAGTGTGATGATGAGTGTGACGCTGAGTGTGATGACGAGTGTGACGCTGAGCGTGATGATGAGTGTGACGCTGAGTATGATGACGAGTGTGACGCTGAGTATGACGACGAGTGTGACGCTGAGTGTGATGACGAGTGTGACGCTGAGTGTGATGACGAGTGTGACGCTGAGTGTGATGACGAGGTACAGCACCTTGCCTGACGTCTTCACCCCCCGCCACAGGCTGAAGAAGACGACTAGCAGCACACCGAGCAGGCACAGCAGCAGCTGAGTATGATGACGAGTGTGACGCTGAGTGTGACGCTGAGTGTGATGACGAGTGTGACGCTGAGTGTGATGACGAGGTACAGCACCTTGCCTGACGTCTTCACCCCCCGCCACAGGCTGAAGAAGACGACTAGCAGCACACCGAGCAGGCACAGCAGCAGCTGAGTATGATGACGAGTGTGACACTGAGTGTGACGCTGAGTGTGATGACGAGTGTGACGCTGAGTGTGATGACGAGTGTGACGCTGAGCGTGATGATGAGTGTGACGCTGAGTATGATGACGAGTGTGACGCTGAGTATGACGACGAGTGTGACGCTGAGTGTGATGACGAGTGTGACGCTGAGTGTGATGATGAGTGTGACGCTGAGTGTGATGACGAGGTACAGCACCTTGCCTGACGTCTTCACCCCCCGCCACAGGCTGAAGAAGACGACTAGCAGCACACCGAGCAGGCACAGCAGCAGCTGAGTATGATGACGAGTGTGACGCTGAGTGTGACGCTGAGTGTGACGCTGAGTGTGATGACGAGGTACAGCACCTTGCCTGACGTCTTCACCCCCCGCCACAGGCTGAAGAAGACGACTAGCAGCACACCGAGCAGGCACAGCAGCAGCTGAGTATGATGACGAGTGTGACGCTGAGTGTGACGCTGAGTGTGATGACGAGTGTGACGCTGAGTGTGATGACGAGTGTGACGCTGAGCGTGATGATGAGTGTGACGCTGAGTATGATGACGAGTGTGACGCTGAGTATGACGACGAGTGTGACGCTGAGTGTGATGACGAGTGTGACGCTGAGTGTGATGACGAGTGTGACGCTGAGGGTGATGACGAGTGTGACGCTGAGTGTGATGACGAGTGTGACGCTGAGTGTGATGACGAGTGTGACGCTGAGTATGATGACGAGTGTGACGCTGAGTGTGATGACGAGTGTGACGCTGAGTGTGATGACGAGTGTGACGCTGAGTGTGATGACGAGTGTGACGCTGAGTATGATGACGAGGTACAGCACCTTGCCTGACGTCTTCACCCCCCGCCACAGGCTGAAGAAGACGACTAGCAGCACACCGAGCAGGCACAGCAGCAGCTGAGTGTGATGACGAATGTGACGCTGAGTGTGACGCTGAGTATGATGACGAGTGTGACGCTGAGTGTGACGCTGATTGTGATGACGAGTGTGACGCTGAGTATGACGACGAGGAGCAGCACCTTGCCTGACGTCTTCACCCCCCGCCACAGGCTGAAGAAGACGACTAGCAGCACACCGAGCAGGCACAGCAGCAGCTGAGTATGATGACGAGTGTGACGCTGAGTGTGACGCTGAGTGTGATGACGAGTGTGACGCTGAGTATGACGACGAGGAGCAGCACCTTGCCTGACGTCTTCACCCCCCGCCACAGGCTGAAGAAGACGACTAGCAGCACACCGAGCAGGCACAGCAGCAGCTGAGTATGATGACGAGTGTGACGCTGAGTGTGATGACGAGTGTGACGCTGAGTGTGATGACGAGTGTGACGCTGAGTGTGATGACGAGTGTGACGCTGAGTGTGATGACGAGTGTGACGCTGAGTATGACGAGGAGGAGCAGCACCTTGCCTGACGTCTTCACCCCCCGCCACAGGCTGAAGAAGACGACTAGCAGCACACCGAGCAGGCACAGCAGCAGCTGAGTATGATGACGAGTGTGACGCTGAGTGTGATGACGAGTGTGACGCTGAGTGTGATGACGAGTGTGACGCTGAGTGTGATGACGAGTGTGACGCTGAGTATGATGACGAGTGTGACGCTGAGTGTGACGCTGAGTGTGATGACGAGTGTGACGCTGAGTATGACGACGAGGAGCAGCACCTTGCCTGACGTCTTCACCCCCCGCCACAGGCTGAAGAAGACGACTAGCAGCACACCGAGCAGGCACAGCAGCAGCTGAGTATGATGACGAGTGTGACGCTGAGTGTGATGACGAGTGTGACGCTGAGTGTGATGACGAGGTACAGCACCTTGCCTGACGTCTTCACCCCCCGCCACAGGCTGAAGAAGACGACTAGCAGCACACCGAGCAGGCACAGCAGCAGCTGAGTATGATGACGAGTGTGACGCTGAGTGTGATGACGAGTGTGACGCTGAGTGTGATGACGAGGTACAGCACCTTGCCTGACGTCTTCACCCCCCGCCACAGGCTGAAGAAGACGACTAGCAGCACACCGAGCAGGCACAGCAGCAGCTGAGTATGATGACGAGTGTGACGCTGAGTGTGACGCTGAGTGTGACGCTGAGTATGACGACGAGGAGCAGCACCTTGCCTGACGTCTTCACCCCCCGCCACAGGCTGAAGAAGACGACTAGCAGCACACCGAGCAGGCACAGCAGCAGCTGAGTATGATGATGAGTGTGACGCTGAGTGTGATGACGAGTGTGACGCTGAGCGTGATGATGAGTGTGACGCTGAGTATGATGACGAGTGTGACGCTGAGCGTGACGACGAGTGTGACGCTGAGTGTGATGACGAGTGTGACGCTGAGTGTGATGACGAGTGTGACGCTGAGTGTGATGACGAGTGTGACGCTGAGTATGATGACGAGGTACAGCACCTTGCCTGACGTCTTCACCCCCCGCCACAGGCTGAAGAAGACGACTAGCAGCACACCGAGCAGGCACAGCAGCAGCTGAGTATGATGACGAGTGTGACGCTGAGTATGATGACGAGTGTGACGCTGAGTGTGACGCTGAGTATGACGACGAGGTACAGCACCTTGCCTGACGTCTTCACCCCCCGCCACAGGCTGAAGAAGACGACTAGCAGCACACCGAGCAGGCACAGCAGCAGCTGAGTATGATGACGAGTGTGACGCTGAGTGTGATGACGAGTGTGACGCTGAGTGTGATGACGAGTGTGACGCTGAGTGTGATGACGAGTGTGACGCTGAGTGTGATGACGAGTGTGACGCTGAGTATGATGACGAGTGTGACGCTGAGTGTGACGCTGAGTGTGATGACGAGTGTGACGCTGAGTATGACGACGAGGAGCAGCACCTTGCCTGACGTCTTCACCCCCCGCCACAGGCTGAAGAAGACGACTAGCAGCACACCGAGCAGGCACAGCAGCAGCTGAGTATGATGACGAGTGTGACGCTGAGTATGATGACGAGTGTGACGCTGAGTGTGACGCTGAGTATGACGACGAGGTACAGCACCTTGCCTGACGTCTTCACCCCCCGCCACAGGCTGAAGAAGACGACTAGCAGCACACCGAGCAGGCACAGCAGCAGCTGAGTATGATGACGAGTGTGACGCTGAGTGTGATGACGAGTGTGACGCTGAGTGTGATGACGAGTGTGACGCTGAGTGTGATGACGAGTGTGACGCTGAGTGTGATGACGAGTGTGACGCTGAGTATGATGACGAGTGTGACGCTGAGTGTGACGCTGAGTGTGATGACGAGTGTGACGCTGAGTATGACGACGAGGAGCAGCACCTTGCCTGACGTCTTCACCCCCCGCCACAGGCTGAAGAAGACGACTAGCAGCACACCGAGCAGGCACAGCAGCAGCTGAGTATGATGACGAGTGTGACGCTGAGTGTGATGACGAGTGTGACGCTGAGTGTGACGACGAGTGTGACGCTGAGTGTGATGACGAGTGTGACGCTGAGTGTGATGACGAGGTACAGCACCTTGCCTGACGTCTTCACCCCCCGCCACAGGCTGAAGAAGACGACTAGCAGCACACCGAGCAGGCACAGCAGCAGCTGAGTATGATGACGAGTGTGACGCTGAGTGTGATGACGAGTGTGACGCTGAGTGTGACGACGAGTGTGACGCTGAGTGTGATGACGAGTGTGACGCTGAGTGTGATGACGAGGTACAGCACCTTGCCTGACGTCTTCACCCCCCGCCACAGGCTGAAGAAGACGACTAGCAGCACACCGAGCAGGCACAGCAGCAGCTCGGAGCGAGGAGCCCCAAGGTCACCGATCCCTGAGCTCTCGTGCTGGTTCAGCACCTCCCTCCTGGGGGGGAGGGAGGGGGGAGGGGTGGGGGGTGGGGGGAGGGGTGGGTGGAGGGGTGGGGGGAAATGGGGAGGGGTGGGAAGAGGGGTGGGGGGAGGGGTGGGCGGAGGAGGTGGGAAATAAAGAATGAATGTGTAAAGGGGGAGGAGTCGGTGGGAAATAAATAATGAATGTGTAAGGGGGGGGAGACAGCAGGAAATAAATAATGAATGCGTAAAGGGGGAGGAGTCGGCGGGAAATAAATAATGAATGTCTAAAGGGGGCCCGGTGGGAAATAAATAATGAATGCGTAAAGGGGTCGGGGTCGGTGGGAAATAAAGAATGAATGTGTAAAGGGGGGGGAGACAGCAGGAAATAAATAATGAATGTGTAAAGGGGGAGGAGTCGGCGGGAGATAAATAATGAATGTGTAAAGGGGGCCCGGTGGGAAATAAATAATGAATGTGTAAAGGGGGAGGAGACGGTGGGAAATAAATAATGAATGTGTAAAGGGGGGGGAGACAGCAGGAAATAAATAATGAATGTGTAAAGGGGGAGGAGTCGGCGGGAGATAAATAATGAATGTGTAAAGGGGGCCCGGTGGGAAATAAATAATGAATGTGTAAAGGGGGAGGAGACGGTGGGAAATAAATAATGAATGCGTGATGGGGGAGGAGTCGGTGGGAAATAAATAATGCGTTGTTGGGGGGGGAATCCGATGAGCTCTAAAGCTCTTTGTCACAGCAGGGGTCAGCAGGGGTCACGTGGGGTGGCAGGTTGCATCGACAACGAAGACGACACCATACCACCACCACCACCTCGTCACCACCTCGTCACCACCTCGTCATCACCACCACCACTCCGTCACCACCACCACCACCATGTCACCACCACCACCTCGTCACCACCTCGTCACCACCACCTCGTCACCACCACCACCACCTCGTCACCACCACCACCACCTCGTCACCACCACCACCACCATCACCACCACCACCTCGTCATCACCACCACCACCACCTCGTCACCACCTCGTCACCACCACCACCACCACTCACTCAAAGTACTCCCCGGCCGGCGTCGTCCTCAGCCAGCTGGTCGGCAGGCGGTCGTGGGTGGACGAGGTGGAGAAGCTGACGTTGCCTCCTCCTCCTCCTCCTCCTCCACCTCGTCGCTCCGCCCCGGCCTCGGAGCAGTCCGCCGTGTTCCAGGAGTTGTTGCACGAGGCCCAGGGCAGGCGCGACGAGGAGGAGGTGCAGGACGCGACGAGGTAGCGCAGGGCCCAGGCGATGATCACGTGGTAGTAGAAGCCCACGTAGAGTGAGATGAGCATCACAGAGAAACCCACGCCTGGTGGGGGTGACGACACCAGGGTGTGATGACGTGTGTGATGACGTGTGTGTGATGACGTGTGTGTGTGACGTGTGTGTGATGACGTGTGTGTGATGACGTGTGTGTGTGACGTGTGTGATGACGTGTGTGTGACGAGGCGATGATCACGTGGTAGTAGAAGCCCACGTAGAGTGAGATGAGCATCACAGAGAAACCCACGCCTGGTGGGGGTGACGACACCAGTGTGTGATGACGTGTGTGATGACGTGTGTGATGACGTGGTGATGACGTGTGTGTGATGACGTGTGTGTGACGAGGCGATGATCACGTGGTAGTAGAAGCCCACGTAGAGTGAGATGAGCATCACAGAGAAACCCACGCCTGGTGGGGGTGACGACACCAGGGTGTGATGACGTGTGTGATGACGTGTGTGATGACGTGTGTGTGACGAGGCGATGATCACGTGGTAGTAGAAGCCCACGTAGAGTGAGATGAGCATCACAGAGAAACCCACGCCTGGTGGGGGTGACGACACCAGGGTGTGATGACGTGTGTGATGACGTGTGTGTGATGACGTGTGTGTGTGACGTGTGTGTGATGACGTGTGTGTGATGACGTGTGTGTGTGACGTGTGTGTGACGTGTGTGATGACGTGTGTGATGACGTGTGTGTGACGTGTGTGATGACGTGTGTGTGATGACGTGTGTGTGATGACGTGTGTGTGTGACGTGTGTGATGACGTGTGATGACGTGTGTAATGACGTGTGTGATGACGTGTGTGATGACGTGTGTGATGACGTGTGTGATGACGTGTGTGTGATGACGTGTGTGTGATGACGTGTGTGATGACGTGTGTGTGACGAGGCGATGATCACGTGGTAGTAGAAGCCCACGTAGAGTGAGATGAGCATCACAGAGAAACCCACGCCTGGTGGGGGTGACGACACCAGGGTGTGATGACGTGTGTGTGATGACGTGTGTGTGATGACGTGTGTGTGATGACGTGTTTGTGACGTGTGTGTGACGAGGCGATGATCACGTGGTAGTAGAAGCCCACGTAGAGTGAGATGAGCATCACAGAGAAACCCACGCCTGGTGGGGGTGACGACACCAGTGTGTGATGACGTGTGTGATGACGTGGTGATGACGTGGTGATGACGTGTGTGTGATGACGTGTGTGATGACGTGTGTGTGACGAGGCGATGATCACGTGGTAGTAGAAGCCCACGTAGAGTGAGATGAGCATCACAGAGAAACCCACGCCTGGTGGGGGTGATGACACCAGTGTGTGATGACGTGTGTGATGACGTGTGTGATGACGTGATGATGACGTGTGTTTGATGACGTGTGTGACGTGTGTGATGACGTGTGTGATGACGTGTGTGTGACGAGGCGATGATCACGTGGTAGTAGAAGCCCACGTAGAGTGAGATGAGCATCACAGAGAAACCCACGCCTGGTGGGGGTGACGACACCAGTGTGTGATGACGTGTGTGATGACGTGGTGATGACGTGGTGATGACGTGTGTGTGATGACGTGTGTGATGACGTGTGTGTGACGAGGCGATGATCACGTGGTAGTAGAAGCCCACGTAGAGTGAGATGAGCATCACAGAGAAACCCACGCCTGGTGGGGGTGACGACACCAGTGTGTGATGACGTGGTGATGACGTGTGTGTGATGATGACGTGTGTTTGATGACGTGTGTGACGTGTGTGATGACGTGTGTGATGACGTGTGTGTGACGAGGCGATGATCACGTGGTAGTAGAAGCCCACGTAGAGTGAGATGAGCATCACAGAGAAACCCACGCCTGGTGGGGGTGACGACACCAGTGTGTGATGACGTGTGTGTGTGACGTGTGTGATGACGTGTGTGATGACGTGTGTGATGACGTGTGTGTGACGAGGCGATGATCACGTGGTAGTAGAAGCCCACGTAGAGTGAGATGAGCATCACAGAGAAACCCACGCCTGGTGGGGGTGACGACACCAGTGTGTGATGACGTGTGTGTGATGACGTGTGTGATGACGTGGTGATGACGTGTGTGTGATGACGTGTGTGATGATGTGTGTGTGACGAGGTGATGATCACGTGGTAGTAGAAGCCCACATAGAGCGAGATGAGCATCACAGAGAAACCCACGCCTGGTGGGGGTGACGACACCAGGGTGTGATGACGTGTGTGTGATGACGTGTGTGATGACGTGTGTGTGTGATGTGTGTGTGATGACGTGCGTGTGATGACGTGTGTGTGACGTGTGTGATGCGTGTGTGATGACGTGTGTATGACGTGTGTGGTGACGTGTGTGTGATGACGTGTGTGTGTGTGACGCGTGTGTGATGTGCGTGTAATGACGTGTGTGTGTAACGTGTCTGTGATGACGTGTGTGATGACGTGTGTGTGACGCATGTTTGTGATGACGTGTGTGTGTGACGTTGTGTGATGACGTGCGTGTGATGACGTGTGTGTGATGCGGGTGTGATGACGTGTGTGTGACGTGTGTGTGATGACGTGTGTGTGATGACGTGTGTGATGACGTGTGTGATGACGTGTGTGTGATGACGTGTGTGATGACGTGTGTGTGACGTGTGTGATGATGTGTGTGTGATGACGTGTGTGTGACGACGTGTGTGTGATGCCGTGTGTGTGATGACGTGTGTGTGACGTGTGTGTGATGACATGTGTGTGTGACGTGTGTGTGATGACATGTGTGTGTGATGACGTGTGTGTGATGACGTGTGTGTGATGTGTGTGATGACGTGTGTGACGAAGGCAACCCCCTACCTCCTCGTGGTGCCGGACGGGCAACTCTGTCGTGGACAGTGCTGTGGAGGGCAGGGCCAACTCCGATTGGCTCCTCCTATCATGGCGTTTGTGACCACCACAGGGGCTAAACGGGGCCACATGGAATGTTCGAATGCTCACTGCGGAGGAGAGGCTGCCACTCCTCTGTCGGGAGCTGGACCGGTACCGCCTGGATCTCTGTAGCATTCAGGAGGTCCGGTGGACCGGCTCTGGCTCCTGTCACCATGAGGGGTGGACAGCCCTCTACTCGGGGCAGGAGACTGCCAAACAACAGGGTGTGGGTCTTCTTTTGAACAAAAGAATGAAGGGGGCGTGGGAGCGTGGCGGAGAGGTGTGGGAAGCTGTAAGCCCCAGGCTACTTTGGGCTCGCCTTCCCATCCACCAGAGGAGAGGAGTGGTGGTCGTGGTTACTTATGCCCCCACCGAAGACGAACATCCGTGGAGGGATGCAGGCAAGGCCGATGAGTCAGATGCCTTCTATGACCTGCTGTCACAGATGCTGGCTAAAGTGGCCCCTCGGGATAGAGTCATCTTGTTGGGTGACTTCAATGCCCGAGTTGGTCATGATGCTGGCACCTGGTCTGGGGTGATTGGAAGGCATGGGCCAGATCAGCTCAATAACAATGGAAGGAGGCTGCTAGATTTTTGTGCAGCCCATGGGCTTTTAATTACCAACACGCTGTTCCGGCATCGGCGCATCCACACATCATGGATACATGCCGGGTCCAAGCAAGAACATCTGCTTCACTTCATAGTGACGGACCAGCGGATGCGAGCCCATGTCCTTGACACCAGGACCTACCGTGGAGCTGATCTTCCCTCATCAACTTCTCATCTGTAAGATTATTCCACTTCGGTGGTGGATGTAGACCCAGGACCCCATTCAAACCTAAAGTGGCCTGGTCTCAGCTAGCTGATGAAAGTTGCAAGCGAGAATTTCATCATCGCTTGCGGCTGGGGTTGGCATCGTCCCCCACTCCTCCTGATGTCGAGGGTAAATGGGCGAGGTTTAGGACTGTGACTCATGCAGCTGCAATGGCTGCTTTGGGTACACAGTCCAGACCTCCCAAGAGACCCTGGCTGACAGAGGAGGTGTTCAGGATGGTTTAGAAAAAGCGACAGGCTCACTCTCATCGGCTACAGAATCCCACGTCGGAGAATGAGGAGGCTTACCGCAGCCTTCGCTCGGAGGTTCGGAGAGCCGTGAGGCGCTGCAAGGATGGGTGGTGGTCGCGGGTTGCTGAGGAGATGGAGTCTGCCTCAATGGCCCGCGATCACAAATCGCTCTTTAACTCCATCAACAAAGTAACCTGCAGCGCCACACCTAACACCACCCTCAAGGGAAAGAGCCGCGATTCGATCTCCGACCCCCAGGGACAGGTCTGCAGGTGTGCTCAGCGTTTCTGTGAGGTCCTGGGGGAGGGGGAGTTACTCAGCCCAGACATCATCGGGGGGCTAGGTGGTGACCCAGCCACCACCACCACCGCCACCACCACCGCCACCACCACCGCAACCACCACCGCCACCACCACCGCCACCACCACCACCGCCACCACCACCGCAACCACCACCGCCACCACCACCGCAACCACCACCGCCACCACCACCACCACCGCCACCGCCACCACCGCCACCACCACCACCGCCACCACCACCACCGCCACCACCACCACCGCCACCACCACCACCACCGCCACCACCACCACCGCCACCACCACCATCACCACCACCACCACCGCCACCACCGCCACCGCCACCACCGCCACCACCACCACCACCACCACCACCCGCACCGCCACCACCACCACCACCGCCGCCACCACCACCACCACCACCGCCACCACCGCCACCACCGCCACCACCACCGCCACCACCACCACCACCACCCGCACCGCCACCACCACCACCACCACTGCCACCACCACCACCACCGCCACCACCACCACCACCACCACAACCATCACCACCACCACCTGCACCACCACCACCACCACCTGCACCACCACCACCACCACCACCGCCACCACCCGCACCACACTGCCATCCTCACCCTTGAAGATTGGACAAATTCTCCAGACGGCCGAGGCTCCGGCCCTCTGGCACTGTCCCAGGGCCAGCTCCATGTAGAAGAGTGGGACGCCGGCGATGACGAGGAAGAGGAGGTATGGGATGAGGAAGGCTCCTGTCCAGCAGTGGAGAGAGAATGAGAGAGAGAGAGGGAGGGGTGGGGAGGGAGAGAGAGATGATGAGAGAGAGGGTGAGGGAAAG